CACACACACACGCCACACACACACACGCCACACACACGCCACACGCCACACACGCCTATCTGGACTTTCAAAAATAAGTTTTTGTTTTTAAATACCTCATGGACGGTGAGAATATGAAATGAAACATGGCCACTCCTAAGGGATTCTTTTAGAACTTTAAAAATATTATTTCCATCACAGCTCATTATGGAATGAATTATATGTCTCTGATTATGGTCTATTTCCAGTTCAATGAATCACATAATGAGATATAAAATGAACTACTTCTCAACAGCAATAGGATATAATACTTCTACATCAAATCCCTTCTGGAATCCAACAGAGAATAAAATACAAATAAAGGCAATTATCATTTCAATACAGGAACTATTCATCAAATAAACCTATTATACACTTTATCATTGTTTACACGTAAAAATCATAGTACAGTACAGTAAAATTACAGATTTACTTGGCAATATGGCAGAGACCTACACCCTGCTTTTTATTTAAGTCTGATTGCTTACTTGATCGACTGCCAGTCCACGGTAACTGTGAGAGGAGAGCTACGCAGAGCAGTAAATGACTTCCCTCGACATGCAGGCACAGGACACTGTAACAAGATTAACTCACATTCAGATTTTGATAAACAGCTGCAATCACATCTCAGGAAAATTTAAGGTATAATGCTTCATTTAATATTGCTTCTAAAATATTGGCCTCAGGATGGTATTACAGTAAAACACACTAATAGCGGTAGTGACCTTCTATTTCCTTTGCAATGATCTGTATCATAAGCTTTTGAGACACTTGCCTGCCTGGTTCCTCTCTCACTGCTCTTATTCTTTCAGCTGTGGGTATGCGAGACTCTTCACTTGGTTCTCAACCAAGCACTTATTCCTTCCTTTGTGCCCATGCAGTCTCCGGATCCTTGAATGCCCACTCTCCTCAAGTCCACATACCCAGTTCCAACCCTCCCCTTTTCAAAAGGCTTTCCTGGGTCTACTCGATCCCCAGCTCTCCCATCTAGATTTCTTTTGCACTGTTTGTATGTTATTTAATGTACCAGAAAGTCAGTGCTTAACATATAAGCAAGTTGTGTTCAAGTTTTCATTAGAAAGTCACTGTTTGGACCACAGGATGAATTCATAGATTCACAGAGACAATGGCAGATTATACTTTCCAAATATAATTGTAATAATATCTCCCTATAGCCTTTTCAGAGTCTCGCCACACCCCTCTCAAGAGATGGAGTCTAATTCCCTCTCCTGGAACCTGGGCAGGCTTGTGACTCACTTTGTAACCAACAGAATGCGACAGAAGTGATGCCACATGACTTCCAAGTCTAGCTCATAAAAGGCAATACCATTTCTGCCTTGTCAACTGGACTACTGTCTCTTGAAGCTGTCAGCAGCCGTGTAAGCAGACCAAGTGCCCTGAGCTGCCATACTGTACACGAGAAGCCAAAACCAGCCAGAGAGAGACCACATGGAGAATGGAGAAGTGTCCAGCCAGTCTCCAGCCCTTTGTTCTTTTGTCTCCACCCACCATCTGACTACAACTCCATGCGTGACCTGGAGTCAGTATTACCCAGCTGAGTAGTTTTCTTCTAAACTCCTGACCCACAGGAACCATGAGAAATAATAAAATGATTGCTGTTATTTTGAACCACTAAGTTCTGAGGTGACCTGTTATGCAGCAATAGGGACTAGAACAGAGATTACTTGGATTAGCCATCTTTCTGGCTACTTCAAATCAGTTTGGACACGTGTAGAAACTCATCACATCACTCACAGTATGAATCAATGTTCCCACCCACTGCTGTCGAGTCGATTCCGACTCATAGCGACAGAGTAGAACTGCCCCATAGGGCTTCCAAGGCTGTAAATCTTTATGGAAGCAGACTGCCACATCTTTCTCCCACGGAGCAGCTGATAGGTTCAAAACGCCAACCTTTCAGTTTGCAGCTGAGTGCTGTAACCACTGCACTACCAGGACTCCTGAATCAATATTACTACCCAATATATTAGAGGGTGTCTTAGTCATCTAGTGCTGCTCCAACAGAAATACCACTCAGGGATGGCTTTTAACAAAGAGAAGTTTATTCTCTCACAGTCCAGTAGGCTACAAGTCCAAATTCAAGGCATCAGCTTCAGGAGAACGCTTTCTCTCTGTCAGCTCTGGAGAAAGCTCCCTGTGATGCATCAGTCTTCCCTTGGTCTGGGAGCATCTCAGCACAGGAACCTCAGGTCCAAAGGACGCGCTCTGCTCCCGGCACTGTTTTTTTGGTGGTATGAGGTTCCCATGTGTCTCTGCTCACTTCTTTCTTTTATATCTCAAAAGAGATTGGCTTAAGATACTATCCAATCTTGTAGATGTCATCAGTATAACCTCATCATAGTGATAGAGTTTACAACACATAAGGAGATCACATATAACCTCATCATAGTGATAGAGTTTATAACACATAAGGAAATTACATCAGATTACACAATCATACAGCACTGGGAATCATGACCTAGCCAAGTTGACAGACATTTTTTGGGGACACAATTCAATCCATGACAGAGAGTATGGAAATACCTTAAACAAATGTTGTTTATAGGCAGGACCAGGATTTAAATTCTGGCCTTTGGGCTAAAGGTGGTCTCCTAAACCCTAACTTGAGACAATTAATAGATGACACTCATTTATCAACAACACTGATTATTTAGAACCAGTAACTGAATCTAACACACCCTATTCTTCCTGTAAGAGAAAGAAACCCTAGGAATTTCAAGCATAAATATCATGTATTTCTATTTTCAAACTTTTCATGGAATTATTTACTTCACTAAGGATCCAAACCTTTACATGTATAAAAAATTAATAAATGTTAAATTTATTAAGGCAACTCTGGAAAAGAATACGAAGTAAGGCAGTTCTCTGCTTTATTAAAAGTTTTAACAAGATCAAAGTAAATAAGACAGTGTAGAACTATACAGGAGCAGTAAAATGGAACAGACTCACATGTCTACAGGAGTCCAGTGGGCGACAGAGGAAGCATTACACATCAGTGAGAACAAGTTAATTTAACAAATGGTGACAGGATAACTGCCTTTTCACCTAAAAGAATAAAATTAGATCCCTAGCTCTATACCATTCACAAAATTAAATTCCAGACAGACTAAAGATCTGAATGTAAAAAACAAAACATAAAATCATTAGGAAAAGACATAGGAGATATGTTTGTAATACCTGAGTGAGGAAGGCCATAAGATATAAGTCATGTTGGAAATGATTGATGGATTTGACCATGTCAAAATGTACAACTGTCCAACAAAAAGACACCATAAATTTAAAAGATAAGCCAAAGACTGGGAGAAGATATCTGTAGTGTGCATAATCAACAGCAATTAGTATCTAGAATACATAAGGAATTCCTATCAGTAAACTAACAGAGAAATGAATAGAAGCTATAAACAGAAAATTTAACAAAGGGAACTGAACAGCCAATAAAGATGTGAAAAGATGCTCAATCTTAACAGAAACCATAAAAATTCACATAAAAAATGAAATACCATTTTATACCCATCAGACTGGCAAAATGAAAACATCTAACAACATCAAGTGTTAATGAAGATATGGGGAAATGACAACTGCTTTACACTACTTGTAGGGGTCTAAGTTCGGACCACCACTCTGGACAGTAATTTGACACCATCTAATAAATTTATCTTATAACTAGGAAATTCCTCTGTTAAGGAGACATGGACAAGAAGAATCTTCTCTGCAGCATCATTTATAACAGCAAAAATCAGCAACAACATGAATGTCTACCACCAGGAGAATGGAAAAATAGTAGTTACTCATTTAATGAAATACAACACAACAGTAAAAATGAAAGAGTAAGACACGTTATCAACATAGGTAGAACTCCAAAATAAACAAGAGGGGTGGGAGAGGAAAGTTGTAGAATGTTACATTCAGTATACCATTTATGTAAACACAATGCAACAAAACAAACTCTACATAGTCAAGACTTGCCCTACCTCTTATTCTTTTCAGAACTGCCTTTACTGTCCTTGAACTTTAATAAATTTAACATTTATTAAATTTTTTATCATCAAGTATACAAGTATAGACTTGAGAAATATATGCCACTTTCAGAATACTGGCTGCATCTAGGGATGGGAGAGGGGAATGAAACTGGGAGGGGAACAAAGAGACTGCAACTTTAACTATAATACACCCACTCCTCACTTATCAAAGTGGTTAGGTTCCAAAGACAAGGTCATTATGCGAAAATCGGCATGCAAAAATGGAGAATGACCACATCAGATCATATAATGGAGGATGACTACATCACTACACAACTGCCAAATTACATCATTATGTAACTCCCAAAACACTGAAAATCATGTGCCATCCAAGTTAACACATAACCTTAACCATCACAGCCAGCATTACTCTCACCTCCCACTTCGGCATTCATTAGTGCCAGATGTACATTGTTAATGTCCAAAACAATCAGATAGTAAATTTTTTACAACTGTCAAAGCTACAAAATGTTGGATAATGAGATAGTTGGTAAGTGAGAAGTAGGTGTAACTTATATTCTTTGTTTAAAAAAAAACAAAGCTAAAATCACAAAGTACTAATATTTCCCAACTCAGAATAGGGCAGTACAGAGATATTAACTACATTATTGTCTGCACTTTTCCATAGATTTAGAATCTATTGTTTAAAAAAGGTTAATAAAAAAGGAACAAAACATAATCACTTTCAAAACAGTGGAAGGAATAAAAGAAAGAAAACTTGATGTATGTACTGAGAAAGTAAAAAAAAGAAACATATAAAAAGGATACACATTAACTTCAGGATGATGATTATCTCTGAGAATGGTACAGACAAGGAGTGAAAAAGAGACACTAATTAAAACTGTAATGCTTTATATCTTTTAAAAAATATCTCGAGCATAGCTGGCAAAATGTGAATTTTGGGTGGTGGTAATGTTTTATTTCTGTGTTTTCTGTACTGTGAAGCATTTCATAATTTAAAAACTGAAATAAAAAATAAGCTCTGTGTTCAGAAACATTAGGAAATTTCTTCTATAAATTGATTTACTTTCCTTACTAAGACAAATAAAGAAGTAGTTAAAGAACATGGTATTGAGGAGAGACTTCCAGGCAACATGGCACTATACACAGAAGCACTACGCCATCCCTCCACAGCAAAGATCATAAAAATCAAGCTAAACAGAGAAAACGGCAATCCTGAAACCCCAAGCATCAAAGGAAGAGATAAAGAACTCAGTCAATAACACACACATGAAGAAATGCTCACTATCATTAGCCATTAGAGAAATGCAGATCAAAACTACAATGAGATATCATCTCACCCCAACATGGCTAGCATTAATCCAAAAAACACAAAATAATAAATGCTAGAGAGAATGTGGAGACTTATACACTGTTGATGGGAATGTAAAATGGTACAACCACTTTGGAAATCAATTTGGCGCTTTCTTAAAAAGTTAGAAATAGAAGTATCATACGATCCAACTATCACACTCCTTGGAATATATCCTAAAGAAATCAGAGACATCACACGAATAGATATGCGCACATTCAT